CTTCCCGCGGGGTCTGCTCTTGCGTAGAGTTAGTCTCGGAAACCCGAAGGAGGAGTTCTTCTGTCCAGTAGGGTCCCTAAGAGTCAGAACCGACTCAGTGACCGCGGGTATGTTGGAATGGATATTTTAAAAATTCTGTTGATAATCGTTCTTCTTGTTAACACGTGGCACGCTTGACTTGGCTGGGAGGTAGCCTGTGGAAGCTCCCAACAGGAGGCAAGGAGACTTCCACATAAGGCAGTAAGACAGGCTCACGGCCTTTGAAAAATGATTGTACTACCAACCCGTTCAGAAAATGGAGTAACAGCGACAATAATAACAAGGTGACAAGCAAGGGCAATCCCCAGATGACGAAGACAAAGGCAGAGAGCGGAAAGTCATCCGCTAGTGCTGAAGACGGCAGCCTCCCGGAGCAGGCTGGGCGGCTAGGAAGAGGAGTGCTCCCCGGTGGAAATCCCACCCACACGCGGAAACACAAGAGGGAAATGGATCATCTTATTTGGGCAGCAGGGAAGTCTCCCCAGAGAATTTAAAACACAAACAAACCCTAACGTGGGCTTGGGATCTGCATGAACACTTCCTCGCAGGCTCAAGAAAATGCTAAACCAAAATTGTTCTTCCAGAGAGTTCCCAGTGGTCATGCTCCCGGTGCCCAAACACAAGCACATACGCCTTCACGGGAATCTGAAGGGGGGAGCGGGGAGGGGCTCAAGATCCAATGGACAGAAGCTCATAATTGAAAATTGCCAAGCACGTGGAGGAACAAGGCACCGTCAATGAGAATCCAATGACGACAAGATTGGGTCCAAGAAGAGAGAAACAGCTGTAGAATAAGACCCAGGGAGTGTTGCGATACCGAATGATCAGATCCAGCACGCATTCACGACATCAGACAACAGTCTGTTCCGGATTAGAGCTTCAATACTGAGCCCCAGGTCTGTGGCAGGCTAACCGGAACCCAGGTCACGCAGTGGTCATGAGTTTCGCTGCCAACTGTGAGCTCAGCAGTTCGAAACCACCAGCTGCTCCTTGGGAGAAAGATGAGGCTTTCTGGTCCTATGAAGAGTTACTGTCTCGGAAACCCAAAGGGGCAGCTGTACCGTCCTCTGGTGTCTCTAGGAGTTGACTCATCAACTCGAGGGTGGTGACTTTGGTTTGGGGGCCTTATGATTCCAAGTGGGAGCCCTAAATCCATTTGGCATCCCCACTTGGAGTCAGCCTCCACTGAGTTTTCGGACCACCGACCAGCGACATAAAAAGCTGTGTGTGTGCTACAACTATCCTAGCCACCCCAGGGAGGGGCAGCGTCATGCCCTCAGCACTCACCCTTGATTGGGGTCCTAGGGCTGCAAGGTTGGGAGCCATCATCCCCTGGCCAGGGTTGCCGCAGAACCCTGAACCCTGCATCTTTTAAACACTTCTTAACAGCAATAGAACACTTGGACGCCATTACTGCCTCTTGCCTTCATGCCCGCACCGTCCCTTCATCCCGATGATCTGTCTTTGCCTTGATGCAATTGAAGACTTTGTAAACGGGGTGTCCGTGCATGGTTTTTAAATATAGGCTTTGTTACTCCCATGTGGGATTCTTGTTCCCCACTACTGACACATCATTTGTTGTTGTTGTTGCTTATTGACTTTCTATTGAGTTTAGCGAAGGGTCAGAGCAGAGCATCCGTGTTACAGTCACTCATTCACACACGTTGCTTCATCTCATTCACTGCAACCCCCGAGATGTAGCATCACTTACCCCCCTGCTTCCTGGTGTCCTCTTCCCTCCCACTCCTCCCTCCATGCTGACCCTTCTGGACTCTGTACTTGGGTAAATGCTGCTCTTTGGACTTCAAATCACTGATGATTCTAAGGTGTGCTCGGGTGATTGTTCCCTTTACAGACTTGTCTATTGTTTGACTGAAAATTGAGCCTGTTGCTTTAAGCCACCATCATCACTCACTGGGATTAGTCCACCCGGTTCCCAACAAGAGGCTTTCGCCTTTGCCTCTCTTTCATCTATTCCTCACACAATATCCTGGGGGACTCTTTTAAAACGTAGATTACATTTCACTATGTATAAAGACCAAGAGGCAGTCCTTCCAACAGAAACGGGGGGCGGGGGGCGGGGTGCTATGTGTGGCTTGAAGTCAAAAAAGGCGTGTATCAGGGCTGTATCCTGTCACTATCCTTATTCGGGATCAGGGGACCTAGTGGTGTCGTGGTTGTGCGTGGGGCTGTGATCCTCAAGATTAGGCGTTTGAAACCACCAGTTGCCTCATGGGAGAAAGACAAGTCTTTTTACTCCCAGGAAGATTTACCGTCAGAAACTCACAGCGGCAGTTCTACCCTGTCCTGTAGAGTTACTATGAGTTAACATGGATTTGACGGCAGGGTGGTGAGCATTTTATACTGATCCAGTCTGTATGCTGAACAAATAATCTGCGTAAGGGGGCCATCTGGCGAGTTTGGCTCCTTAACAGCCTGTGTACGATACGCAGATAACACAGCGTGGGGTACAGAAAGGGACGAGGATTTGATGTACCGACTGATGAAGACCAAAGACTACAGCCTTCAGCGTGGATGACACCTCAACACAACGAAAAGAAAAATCCACCAAGACCACTAGGAGCCACACAAAAGGAAAGCAAGCCTGACCGGTAGTGAGCGTGGGTGAGGGAGGAAGGGGTGTGACTTAGGGGGCATTGAGTTGAGGTTCATGGGGGTGGAGCAATCTGGAAAAGCATATCAATGATGGCTGTACAACACGAAGAGTCTCATCCACGACACGGAGTTATACGTGCACACGCTGCTGAACAGGAGAATGTTTTGTTGTGTCTATTTTCGCCACCATGAAAAAAAAATTATTTTAAAGCGAGAAAGCAAGAACCCTCACAACGGAGCCAGTGAGCAACGTCAAGATCATTGATGTGTAGCATTGGGTGAATCTGCTGCGACAAGACCTCTTTAAAGTGCTACAGAGCAAACCTTTCCCTTGGAGCGCTCGTGGCCCACACCATGTGCTTTTCGATCGCTTTCCATGCATGTGGAAGCTGGACGATGAATAAGACTGAAGAATTGGTGCCTGTGAGTGATGATGCTTGCGAATGTGAAGGAAAATGTCTTCAGATGACTCTTAAATCCATCTCGCCGAGGCAGAAAGCCGAAGCTTTCTGCTTCCGCGAAGATGTCCGGTGTCGGACACCCACAGGGGGAGTTCTACCCTGTCCTTTCGGGTCGTCCTGAGTCGGGATGGACCCGATGGTAGTGAGTTTGGAGTTGTCTCCGTGTCTCTGCACTGCCACCAAAGGATTGAGTGGGACCATGCAAACAGAGCCTGTGCAACACCAACAGAGGGAGCTGCTGGGTTTTAGCTGCCACTCCGTTTGGGCAGGAGGAGAAAAACGTGTCAGGAGTATCAGGAGATGGGCCACCCGTGAAGCATGTTCCCCAGCTCTGTCGGAAGTGGCAGAGGTTGAGGCCAGGGGCACCAGAAGCACTCAGAGACCGTGGGAAGGAGCCAAGAAGCCAGGCCAAGACCAGAGAAGACTCTGAAACTGTAAGACAGAGCAGCAAGTGGGCTTCCCGGCCCACCAAGGCAGAGGCTAAGGGAGCACGTGACTGAGAAGCCGAGGGCCAGAGAGGGGCTTGACTGCTGGCTGAGGAGAGGTGCTGCTGTGGACCAAGAACGGTATCCTTACTGTTTACGGATCCTGATTGGTGCTAACGTCCCTAAATAAACCCCATCATTGTCTTGTCTGAGAGTTCTGTGCGGCCACTGCAGCGAATTATTGAACGCAGCAGCAAAGTGAGAGGAACGAATGATTGGTGTCCAAACAGGGTAAGGGAAGATGGAGGGTGGAGGCACGTGTGACCCCGGCCTCGGGGCCGTAGGGAAGCCGGAGGGGGTCGGATAAGCTCTGCGTGCTGTTTCCACAGCAACAGTGGACAGGCTTCCTGAGGAATGAACAAACCGGTGTTGGGAAAAGTACGGTCAGAATGCTCCTTAGAAGGAATGGTGCGGGTTTTTGCCTCACATACTCTGGACATGTTTTCAGGAGGGACCGGTCTCTGCAGAAGGACGCCAGGCTCGGTGAAGTTGAGGGACAGCAAAAAAAAAAAAAAAAAAAGACTCCCCATGAGATGGATGGACGCAGTGGCTCCAACAGTGGACGGCAACATCGGAACAACTAGGAGCACGGCACAGGGCCAGGCAGTGTTTTGTGCCATTGTACACAGGGAGAGTGACAAGTCTCTGGTATGTTGAAATGGGGCACAATCCTAGAGGATCCCTGGTATTTCTGCAGTGAACCCCTTAGTGGCCGGATCATGAAGCAATCGGGGTGCCAGGCTCTGCAGTTCAGGTTGTGCCAACTTGTCCCTGGGTGGAAGTGTGGGGCTGGAATCCAACCTGCTCATGATGGATGTGGCCTCCTTGGGGTATAGCTTTTTCTCAGAGACACACAAAGAACTCCTTCCTCTCTTGCCCTTTCCCCCTTCCTCTTCACTGGAGAACTGTCTCTCCCTCCAGGGGTGAGCCCCAATGTGCTGCTGACCTAGAGCGCTGTGGGCCCCTGCCGTGTTCACACTGACAGTAGGTCCACAGGACTCGGCACCCACCAGCCTGAGCTCTCCCTGCTGGCCGTATCATTAGCCTGCAGCAACGGCGAGAGTCTGACAAGGGTCCTGTCTAGCATCAGACCGGCGGACTGGGGTTGGCCTGGGCTGGGCCGCCTTCATGTAAAATTACTTCTTGATAGAAAGTTCTGTGCTGCTGGTTGTTTCTCTAGACAACCCTGCCGGACACCTTTACCATTTTGTGAACAGCTGAAGGTTGGAACTCTTGGTTTGGCCTCACCCTGAGGTACCGATACTTCCCCTCCAGCTGTGTGTGAAGCCCAGACCCACAACTTCCTAGGCGACTTCCCTGAACCCACCCCATAGCCATACCCCGACATGGGCCCACAGTTCCCAACAGGGACTCGCTCAAGAACAGGCAGACCCTCAAGGAAGTTTATTTGTAATTTTAATATAAACAGGTCATTACCCAATATTTTACATGCAGAATGATTTCAATATTCAAAAAAAAGGCATATATATACATTTTACTACTTGGCTCTTGTAGGAAAACATTGAAAAAAATAGTAATTGAGCTTTTTTTTTTGGGTTCATGTGTTTCTGAGTTGTTTTCCGCTGAAATCGCGGCACATCTGACTCTGTGCTGCTGACCGTGGACAAGCAGCGTCTGCGGACACACAGCGCCAATGCCACCCAGGCGCCCGGAGGAGCCAGGGCAGCAACTTTGATGCGAAGTATAAAGACTGAACAAGCCGTGCCAGGACATCTGCGTGGCTGCACTCACTGGGAGCCACTCCACCTTCTGAAGTGGGCCCTGGAGTCCCAGAGCCACTCGCTACCCCTCCGCTGCTTAGCAAGGGTTTTCAGGGCCAACACTCCAAGACAAGTCGGCCTGAAGCCTGGTTCCAGACCTCAGCTACCTTATGTGAAGGTGAGACTGAGCTTTAACGAAATCCATTGCTTCCTTTCCTTTCTGGAGGGGGGAAGGCCCGAAGGAAACATTCACCGTTAGGTACAGCCCCTGACAGTCCTTCACAACCTTCCGGGTAAAACACTCACCTAATCCGCTCTGGCCATCACCGGCCTCTCCTCTGCTACAAAGCCACTCTCTCTAGATCCTTCTGGAAGGGTTTCTGCAGTGACACCATTCCACGTCCCTTATGTCCATAACCGGCATGCTTCAGTCCCCAGTCTCCACAAAAACAATTCGACTAAAGAGCCTGAGGTGTTGGGGACTCACTAGGTGGTACCCCAGAGGCATGTAACCCCAAGCTTCCACTCACTGTGAAATGGGGCCACCGACCGCCTTGTGGCCACAGTACAGCCACTCGTTTCCGCACACGGCTGGCACCGGCCGCGCCCGGACGGCATCCCTGCCCCAGACCAGTGGGACAGTTGCCTCCGAGCAAACCTCTAATAGCCAGCAAGAACCTTCCACAGCCGTGTCGGCCTGGTGGGAGACGGTAGGGGACCTCTCTCTCAGAGGCACAGTCCCCCACGGTCACCGGATCGGGTGTGTGGACCCTCGTGTCCGTCCCCACGTTCTCTGCTGGATTCGGTCTACTTCTTCCCGAGAACACGCAGCACACTCCCTTCCTGTGAGCTTCGAACCAACCACACACCCAGCACAGCACCAAGAACGCCGGTATCGTCGGTTCTGTTTGCCCCCACGGACCCCGGGGCGAAAGGCTGGGGCTGGGGCTGTCCTCCCAGGAGACTTTCACCAAATGAAGGAACTGGGTCTCCACAGGCAGGTGTCGTCGTGAAAGACAAACAGAGAGCTCCGACCGAAGGGCAGCTCTGTCACGGCCCTAAGCCCATCCGACAAACACCGGCTTTGAGACCAAAGTTCTACTGTTACAAAGTCAACACTTCCCGATCAAAGAGGCTGCTTCGCCTTTTGACCCAACTGCCGCTTGCTCTTTTCTCGGCCGGCCGCAGAAAGGGCTACGCGAAGTGGGCAAAATCCCATGACGCAGGGAGGGCCTGGCACACACCCCTCTCCGGCGGCAGATGGAGGGCGATGCCAGAAAGGTGTGGAGAGAGCAGGGCCGGGCGACAGCCCTGCCCCCCGGAGGCACGTGCGTCCACCAAGTCCAACAGGGGCAGCTGGAGATCAGCCGGGCCCCCAGCCAAGCCGCCTCCGCTCTGGGGACGCAAGACATGCTCTGTGTGCTGGTGGGTCTGAGGTCGGGGACTTCTCACAGCGCCCCCCTCCACTCGGCAAATAAAAAGGAACACAGGCCTGGGGGTGAGACACGCACGCATGGGTGGTGATCCACTGCCCTCCCTCAGGGGCCTCCTTGTCGACGACGTGGGAGGGGGGGCGTCCACTGGCGACCAGGACATCTGGCTGTTGGCTGGGGGGCCCACAGACATTGGCTCGACACCAGAGCCTTTTGCTCCAGCAGGGAGCACCCACTTCTCAGTAAAAAAAAAGGTGGGGGGGGGGAGAGATGAGGTTGAGGTACCCCACACATCAGGTATGTCACGGTGGCCTGAAACTTGGTTCATGTTGGGGAGCACAACGCTGATGGGTGGAGGCCAAAAAAAAAACAAACAACCAAAAATGGGAGGGGGGGAAAAAAGGCAGGCAGATTGAATTTAGAGAATATTGTCAACCTGTAGTCCCAGGAAGGTGACACCTTCTCCACGCACACTCCCTCCCCCACGATTCCTCCCAGTGCCCGGAGTCTGAGCCAGCTGTTGGGATCTCTCATGACTCCACACATCTGGGCCGAAGTCGGAGGCTCCAGGTGACCAATACTGAACCACGTCCTAACAATACCCTGAGGTAGACTGTGCTGGGGGGTGGGGAGACCAGGACCCCCACATCCACCTAATTTTCTTTGATAAAAATTTACACGCGCTCCGTTTTGTACGAAAGTGATTTTTATATATTAAAATAAATAATTTTCCCCCCGAAATGTAAGAAAACCTTTCTGGATTAGAAAAATGTGAAAATTGCTGCGAATGTAGTATACGGCCACTACAAATTGACTATCAAAGGAACAAAAGACCTAGACCTACAACGTGTTTTATAATTTACCGGCAGACCCTCTTGTATTTACAAAACGAATTGGCGAAAATAATTTGCATTCTCTGCTTCTTGGGTCCAATCACTGAGGCTCGCTGGCTGATTTCTCAGATCAGATACATAAACCACTGTAACGTGGGTCTACGTGTGCTCGTAACCAAGAACCAAGGCGGCCCAGAGGGGGCCATGGTGCCTCTACCCCATCCTTAACCCCAGAGCCCTCAGGAGAGGAAGAGGAGGAGCAAGCCATCAGACGTGGGTGAGACAGGAGCCACTGTGGGCGGTGGCTCTGAGGAACCAAGGAAAGAGTTCACTGTGTCCTTATTTGAGCAGCTGAGTGTTCCCCGAGAGAAGGGACGGCGGGTTCACGCGGGCACGTGACTCCGCTGCGGTGTGCAGGCCTCGCGCTGGCCTGGCCTCGGGGCTCCTCTCCTGGGGATGGTGATGCCCACGGGCACCTGAGGCGTCTGCTCAGACCCCACACCCGGCACGGCTAAGGGGGCTGGGTGCAGAGCAGCTTCTAGAAGGTTAGTCCGCAGGACGAGCAGGTGCTCCGAGGGCTGAGGAGGCAGCAGGTGTCTCCGGCAGGTCCTGCTGACTATTGCTTAAACCCGGGCACCCACCGCCGCTGAGCGGACTCAGACTCCGCGCCCCTTCGTGGATGCGGACACTTGTCTCCACGGGCGGCTGCTCTTTGGGACCGGACGTCGCTGGGTTCTCGCAGGGACTGCAGAAAACGCATACCGAGGGGAGGAAGCGTGCGAGGGGCCTGTGGAACCTGGGGTGTGGGCAGGGCTTAGTTCCCAGCTGGACCAAGCAGACTGGGCCGTCACCACACCACCACCTCTCTGACACAGCCGCCCACGCCCTTGCCTCGCGTGGCCCGCAACGTCCAGATGGCTAGCAGCTAATGTGGCTTTATTCCCAGACAATGGGTGCTTTCCAGACCCAACCAAGAGAGCCCTCACTCGCCCCGCCCTCCCCACCTCCGACGGGCAAGACCAACCTACGACCTGCCCCTGGGAAACAGTCCGTTGGGTATGAGGTTAATGCTGGACAGTTTTCAAAAAATTAAATATGTCACGAATATATTCGCAAAGTGTTTTGCCATCTCAGTTCCTTTATGTCTTCTCCTCCTGTCGTCCTGGCTCTGTCCGGTCTTGACAAGGGCCCTCATTCCAAAAGCAACGTGGCTCCGCCAGTCGATGGACACCTTTCCCTGACATTGAGGGAGAGAAGCGTCCTCAGGCCCGAGGCCGGGCACGGGGAAAAGACCCTGCGGTGGGTACAGTCTCCCGGCCGGTGAGGAAGAAAGGAGGGCTGCATCAAGCTCACATCCACGGGGAGCGCCTTTGTGAGCGAGCCCCACAGCGTCATTCAGCGTGCACGTTCGCACGCATATGCACGCGCACCGCCTGTGTCTGGCCTGGACACACGGACGCAGGGGTGTGCACACGAGCTCACATCCTGCACGGCAGACTCCTGTATCGTCTGAAAGCAGCAGCTATTGGTCAACTTGAGGAACTGATTTTGTGAAAACAAACAAAATCCAAAAAAAACAAAAACTCCTTCAGCCTGGATGATTAAGAAACACACACACGCACACAAATAAAACACAAACAAAGCACACGCTGTCCTAAAGCTCTGCCTTTCGGGATTCTGCTGGAACAGGTTTCTTGCCTTTCAAACGTTGGTTCCACGAACAAGTTTTTAGGTTTATACTGTACCTCAGACATCAGCAAAAAAAACAACAACAACAAAACAAAACGAGAAGAAGAAAAAACTTTGTAAAAATGGGTGCTTCCTTTCCACCTACTCAGGGAAAAATAACATGAAGACGGAAAGAACGCCTTGGCCTGCGGATGCCGGTGGCCCAGCAGCCGGGGACTCCCTCCCTTCCGGATTCACAGTTCAGCCCGCCGCCGCCGAGCAGTCGAGGGCCCGCGGTCCTGTGTGGGCTGCGGGCGGCCGCCTTCTCCGAGTTGGGGTTGACGCTGAAGGCAAGTCCTCGGAATCCTGAGTGTGGGAGGGCCGTCCCCGGGCGGCAGCGGGCCAGGGCCCGCCCGCAGGCAGCGTTAGGAAGGGCTGGGCCTGGGCAGGCTGAGGGTGCGCCCGTTCCTCCTGCCCCCGTTCATGTGTGTGTAGGGCACATGCTCGTCGTAGCTGCGCTTCAGACTCAGGGAGGAGCCGCCGTCCCGGCCCCCGGCCTCTTCCCTCTGGGAGTGTGAGGAGCGGTCTAGGGGGATGCTCTCCATGTCCTCGAGCTCCAGCTCCAGCTCCTCACTCTCAGGGGCCTTGTTCTCCTCGCTGTGGAAGAAGGAGACTTCCGGGAAGCTGGGGTGCAGGTCGTCCTGGAGCTGGTCCACGATCTCCAGGAAGGTGGGCCGCATCTTGGGGTTGAACTGCCAGCACATGCGCATCAGGGTGGTACTGTGGGAGAGAGGGCGAGTCAGCAGGCGGGCTGGGACCCACCAGGGCTTCCTCCCGGGGGGAAGCCTGGCTCCTCGCTCTGTGACAACATCCCTACTTCTCCAGCTTTACTTTCTGTACTCCAGGGTCGAGGAAGCGGCCACCCCGCTCAGCTGCTGACCAAAACAGCTGTAGCGTCCGAGTCCACCCTGAGGTGCCTGGGGAGAAAGGCCTGGTGATCTACTTCCCCGAAACCAGCTGTGGGAGCTCTCCTCGGCCCTGCAGGGCTGCCACGAGTCAGCACCCACTGGACAGCAACTACCCAGACATCGAGTCCATTCTACCGTGTTCTGTAATGGCTCCACTACAAACACAGAACACACTCAAGCTCACTGCCACGGACTCGACTCTGACCCACAGCCACCCGGTAGGACGGACCAGGTAGAGCATCCCCTTACAGGTAGAACGGTCCCTGTGGGTTTCTGAGCCTGCAACTCTCTGCAGGAGCCGAAAGGCTCGCCCTTCTCCAGCGGAGCCAAGGCTGCCAGGGTTGGTTAGGAGTCCCACGCGTACATCACCTGGGCTGCTCTCCAAACAGGTCCGTAAGCATCTCTGAAAACCTCGGTTGTCACATCATTACTGGTTTATCAGTCTACCGACAATCCTCAGACTGCCCGGAGCTTAGGGCAGTCCCATTGCGTTCTGCAACCTCAACTCGCACGGTGTGACCGGCTATCAGAGGGCAGTAAGGAGGTCCTCTAGCCATGCCCTGCTGGCACTGTCACACCTAAGAATATGGTTCTCTCTCTCCTATTTCAAATTTTGCTAACTAGCACTTTCTTTTCTATTTATCAGCTTACTAGGGATGCTGGCCAATCTAACCAGTGCCAAATAGAGTGTGGCCCTTCGGCAAAGATTTCAAACAAAAACGAATTTGGGAAGACAAGCACACATGCTTGGCACAAGTTCAGTCCATGAGAGCAGATAGTTAAACCTAAGCTGTCTTCCCAGCCCGGCTCCCTAGCCTCCTCCCTCCTGAGAAAACCACCACTACGGATTCTTCTAACCCTCATGAGAAGGACCCTCAGTCACAAGCATCCCCGCAGACGGGAGATGCAAATAAGCAAGCAACAAAGGTGGGCTGGCAAAGTGTGCACACACATCACTGTGGGCGAGGCACGCGCACATCAAGACATGAGACGCACACACAAGCAGGCATGTAAAGACAGGGTGCTGTCAATGTGCAGAGAGATGTGGCAGGCAAGTCTCTATGTGTATGTACTCATATATAAATATACGCATGCAAACAAGCACACATAAAGATGCAAAATCCAGGGCAGATGGAAAGACAGACTGTGCAAGCACACACCACACCCTCTCCACACTTACACTCTCTCAGGACAGTGGTCAGGCTGGTCCAGGTAGCCTCCATCCATGACGAACTTCAGCACTTGCTCGTTGGACAGCCCTTGGTAAGGCTGCTCTGCCAGACTGGTGATCTCCCACAGGACCACGCCAAAGGACCTGCAGGCACAGACCCGAGTGGTGACCCAGAAGCCAGCCAACGCGAATGTGCACCCCATGTCCGTATCCACTCACCCATTCACACTCACACGCATGCAACCACATGTACCCATTTACTCATTCACTCAACTCACACACATAAATCCACTTACTCAAATACATCCACTCACTCCCATTTACACTCAAACACGCACATACACACATATACATGCCCACTGACACACCCATTCACACAACCACCCCACCACACGTACACACAGGCATGTATCCAATTACACACCCAGTCACTGAAAAACACTTGCCCCCTGCGTGCATATGCACATGTATATGTATTCATGTACCCAGCCATTCACATGCTTAAACACAGGCACATCTACACACCCCCATATCCACTTAAACACTCATTCAAACATCACCCATTTATATGCACGAACATGCATGTATCCACTTACACACCCATTCACTCAAGCATATGGTCCTCGCATACCCAGATGCACACACACCTCCATTTACCTCATTCACAGACTCAAACACATGCACACACAAACCCACCCACAGCCTCGCACACACAAACGCACATACATAAATCCACTTAAAATACATATTCACCCTCACTCATACACAAGTGCGCCACATACACACACACACTCCTACATGTATGTACACATATACACCTACCCACACACCTCCATGTATATACTCACATAGCACGTGTATTTATACTTCCACACCTACATACACACACACAGACACACACACACACACACCCTGGTTTTCTAAGAAGCTGGCAGTGGGCTACTTAACCATTCTGTGCTACAGTGGACTGTGGTCTGTAAGCTAGGTCTCACATGGAAGGAGGGCAAGGGAACCAGGGGATCCACCGGGACTTGGCCCACTTTCTTGGTGGAGGGTGGAGGCATGGCATGGAAGGGATGTGAGAACACAGGCTTTGATGGCCCTCGTGGAGGTCACACTAGCGGGACACCCAGATCCACACCCGCCTTGTGTCTACCATGCACTACTCACCACATGTCGGAAGATGTGGTGAAGACACCGTCCTTCAGCGATTCTGGGGCCATCCAGCGCACAGGGAGCAGTCCCTTGCCGCCTTTCCGGTAATAGTCAGTCTCGTAGATATCTCTGGTCATTCCAAAGTCTGACGACATAGAGCAAAGCAATGTGTCACACTCAGCCTGCCACCCAGCATCTGCCCTGGTCCCCCACCCCTGATAGAACCCTTGGACGAGCTTGCCAGTCCTAAGAAGTCCCCCTGGTCTGGAGGACAAATCCCAGCAGGCTCTGTGGGTGATCCAGAGGACCAGCAGAGGGGAGGGGCACCCAGGCAAAGGGCGGATTAGAACCACAAGTGCGTCCCCTCATCTAGCAGGTTCCCTACATGCCAGGGGGGCCTTTCCTGAGCCGCCACTACCCCTAGGGTTTCTCCTTTGAAAACCAAGTGTATAGGAGCAGCTCAAAAGGCTCAAGGAGTGCTTGTGACTGGGGCGGGGACAGCTCAGGTAAGAAGGGCGAGAATGGCTGCCGAACTTGAAGCAGATCCTCACTGGCCCTGAATCCCCCATGTAAAGAAACCACCTGGATTTTCTTCTTGGGTCTCCTTCAGAGCTCCTTCCCCAGCCCTGAGGCTCTCTTCTCTACAACAGCGCCCTACGATACAAGGTGGCCTAGCAGAGCTTCCGAGGGAGAGGGCAGGTGAGCAGCTGCACTGTCCAGGATGGTAGCCACCAACCCCACGTGGCCCTGAGCTCTGACAGAGTGACCAGGGACACAAGCGTTCATCTGCTTTCGTGTCTTGGATGGCCACGTGGGGGCAACGGTTCCCCTTCTGGAGCACAGCTAGCCAGTGGGGGTTACAAGGGCAGGCACTTGCCGACTCCCTCAGCGCTGGTCTCCACACCAGCGGCAACGCCTCACTCACAGAGGAGACAGCCATAGTTTGTGCAGCAGTGAAGGAGCGGTAAGCGAGAGTGAACGAGAAGGCAATGAAACTTCCCTTCGAAGACTGAGCCCTCACCTGGACACTGAAACCCACTGGACACCGTGTCAACCTACACGGGTGTCAACCCACAGTCACTGGGCCTGAGAAGAGTCCCTGAGACTACTGGATCTTCACAGGAACGGGAGGCCTCACTTTTCTACCTCTGAGCCAACGGTGGGTTTGGACTGCCAAACGTTCCGTTCACAGCCCAATGCCTACTGCACAGTGCCACCAAAAGAAATCCACACTGACTGCCACGGAGTCGATTCTACCTCGTCCTGGCTGGAGTGGAACTAGCGCTCTGGGTTTCAGAGACTAACTCTTGAGGGGAGCAGAAAGCCTCAGCTTTTTCTTGCAGAGCAG